ACTGTGTCGCCAGGCAGACTGTGTCGCCAGGCAGACGGTGTCGCCCGGCAGACTGTGTCACCAGGCAGACTGTGTCACCAGGCCTGTGTCGCCAGAGACTGTGTCGGTAGAGACTGTGTCGCCAGGCAGACTGTGTCACCAGGCAAACTGGTCGCCAGGCAGACTGTGTCGCCAGGCAGACTGTGTCGCCAGGCAGACTGTCGCCAGGCAGACTGTGTCGCCAGGCAGACTGTGTCGCCAGGCAGACTGTGTCACCAGGTAGACTGTGTCGGCAGGGAGACTGTGTCGCCAGGCAGACTGTGTCACCAGGCAGACTGTGTCACCAGGCAGACTGTGTCACCAGGCAGACTGTGTCGCCAGGCAGACTGTGTCGCCAGGCAGACCTGACACCAGGCCGACTGTGTCGCCAGGAGACTGTCGCAGGCAGACTGTGTCACCAGGCAGACTGCGTCGCCAGGAGACTGTGTCTCCAGGCAGACTGTCGCCCCGGCCGACTGTGTCACCAGGCAGACTGTGTCACCAGGCAGACGTGTCGCCAGGGAGACTGTGTGGCCAGGCAGACTGTGTCGCCAGGCAGACTGTGTCACCAGGTAGACTGTGTCGGCAGGGGAGACTGTGTCGCCAGGCAGACTGTGTCACCAGGCAGACTGTGTCACCAGGCAGACTGTGTCACCAGGCAGACTGTGTCGCCAGGCAGACTGTGTCGCCAGGCCGACTGTGTCACCAGGCAGACTGTGTCACCAGGCAGACTGTGTCGCCAGGCAGACTGTGTGGCCAGGCCGACTGTGTCACCAGGCAGACTGTCTGGGAGAACTGTGTCGCGGAGACTGTGACACTGGGCAGACTGTGTCGCCAGGCCGACTGTGTCACCAGGAGACTGTGTCGCCAGGGAGACTGTGTCACCAGGCCGACTGTGTCACCAGGGGGCTGTGTCGCCAGGCAGACTTGTCACCAGGCAGACTGTGTCACCAGGCCGACTGTCACCAGGCAGACTGTGTCACTAGGCAGACTGTGTCGCCAGGCCGACTGTGTCACCAGGGCAGACTGTGTCGCCAGGAGTTGTGTCGCCAGGCCGACTGTCACCAGGCAGACTTGTCACCAGGCAGACTGTGTCGCCAGGGAGACTGTCACCAGGCCGACTTGTCACCAGGCCGACTGTGTCACTGGGCAGACTGTTGCCGGCCGACTGTGTCCGGGGCTGTATCGCAGGCAGACTGTGTCGCCAGAGCTGTGTCACCAGGCCGACTGTCACCAGGCAGACTGTGTCGCCATGGGCTGTGTCACCAGGCAGACTGTGTCGCCAGGCCGACTGTCACCAGGGAGACTGTGTCGCCAGGCCGACTGTGTCACTGGGCAGACTGTCTCCAGGCAGACTGTCGTCGCCAGGTAGACTGTGTCGCCAGGCAGACTGTGTCACCAGGCAGACTGTGTCGCCAGGTAGACTGTGTCGCCAGGTAGACTGTGTCACCAGGCCGATTGGTCACCAGGCAGACTGTGTCACTAGGCACTTGTCGCCAGGGAGACTGTGTCACCAGGCAGACTGTGTCACCAGGCAGACTGTCGCCAGGTGGCAGATGCAGAACTGTGTCACCAGGCAGACTGTGTCACCAGGCAGACTGTGTCACCAGGCAGACTGTGTCACCAGGCAGACTGTGCCAGGTAGACTGTGTCACCAGGCCGACTGTGTCACCAGGCCGACTGTGTCACCAGGCAGACTGTGTCACCAGTCAGACTGAGTCACCAGGTAGACTGTGTGCCAGGCAGACTGTGTCGCCAGGGCAGACTGTGTCGCCAGGCAGACTGTGTCACCAGGCAGACTGTGTCGCCAGGCCGACTGTGTCACCAGGCAGACAGTGTCACCAGTCAGACTGTGTCACCAGACGAGTCACAGGTGGTAGACTGTCGCCAGGGGACTGTGTCGCCAGGCAGACTGTGTCGCCAGGCAGACTGTGTCGCCAGGCAGACTGTCACCAGGCAGACGTGTCACCAGGCGGGCTGTGTCGCCAGAACTGTGTCACCAGGCAGACTGTGTCGCCAGGCAGACTGTGTCACCAGGCAGACTGTGTCACCAGGAAGACTGTGTCGCCAGGCAGACTGTGTCACCGGCCGACTGTGTCACCAGGCAGACTGTGTCACCAGGCGGACTGTGTCGCCAGAGCTGTGACCCCAGGCAGACTGGACACCAGGCAGACTGTCACCAGGCCGACTGTGTCACCAGGCAGACTGTGTCACCAGGCAGACTGTGTCACCAGGTAGACTGTGTCGCCAGGCAGACTGTGTCGCCAAGTAGACTGTGTCGCCAGGCAGACTGTGTCACCAGGCAGACTGTGTCGCCAGGCCGACTGTGTCACCAGGCAGACTGTGTCACCAGGCCGACTGTGTCACCAGGCAGACTGTGTCACCAGGCAGACTGTGTCACCAGGCAGACTGTGTCACCAGGCAGACTGTGTCACCAGGGAGACTGTGACACCAGGCAGACTGTGTCACCAGGCAGACTGTG